TGGCAAAAATATGTGCTCCTCATTGGAAATAAACTGTAACAATTTGAAATCTATCACTCGTAATAATAAAAAATATAATATTTCAAGTTATTTTATATATTTATTCTATATTTTTTTATTTATATACATATTAATTACACATTAAAGATAAAAAAAGACCTTTTACAGCTGCGTTCCTTTGAAAAAATTGAAAATATAACATATGTATATTGTCTGAGTAGTTCTTTGCGTGAATGGCTTCAAAATTTCCCTTTCTTTGATGGCACACTGACAGACGAAAACATAACAGGTTGGCATTAAGGGTGATATGTAGTTAGATAACATTCTTCACAAAGTTCATTGAAAATGTTAAATACATAAAATAATTTTTGTCTAAAATACGGCCACGAATTTGTATGTGTGTATGTAAGGATTTTCAGATCTTTTAAATATTTACTCCAAAATGATATTTTCAGTGGATCTCAAGCGAAAATTAGTTTGTCGTAAAATTTATTGGAAACTGGGCGTGACCCACCCACTTATGTATGTATCTCGAAAACCACTTCACCAATCTGTACCAAATTTTATATATACATTGCGCCTGACCTTAAATACTGTCTTGAAATCGGATAAATACCACGCCCACTACAAGTATCGCCAACATTGAGTTTATATATTTCCTCAATAGATTTCAAACAATTTCATGTATGTATGTATAATTTATTTGTGTGCATTGAATTTAAAAATTTAAGTTTTTTTTAGCGTTGAATCTCACGGTTCCGGAGATTTGCCCACATGCATGTACATACATACATAAAAAGATTCTATAAATAAAATGATGCCAATGAGATTTTTGTATTTTAAATGATATTATAATAATACAAGACATACATACATATACAAAATTTCATATATTTATTTGTATTAATAAGTTAGGTATATTTTCCATGTTTATTTGATTGAATTGTGAATATTCATAATCTTCTATTAGTTTCTTCCTAGATAAATATAGTCGGTGATACTGCAAAACGTTCTATGTCAATTACTCTAAGATGATGTGTTACAGTTACCGGAATGCATATGCAAATCAGAACACTCTCATAAACTAATGACAAAACTATCTCCCTTTGGCTGATGAAGATGATCGATTAACAGAAGCGATCATATACAGCTCTTAAGCACCTATGGTCATAATTGACATAGAACGTTGTGCAGTATCACCGACGATATGTATGTACATATGTGCATATGTATATATAAGTACAAACGTTCGTACGTCACTTCGGAAATAATTCATAGACACCTTTAATTGAAAATTATAAATAAATCATAACCGATATACATTTTTTATTGTTAATATGTTAGTCAGCAAAATTTTACACATTTTGTTGAAGCACAGCTGGTTAGTCAGACAGTCCAGCTGCAATCGTTTCTTCAACCTATAACAACATTAACAAACATTAGCATCATAATAATAATTGCCCATTCGTAGGTAATGGAACGCATAGTAACAACTATTTTATATGCATATGTAGATAATGTGTAAGTATGTACATTAGAATGCCTTGCAAAGTTGCTAAAAAAATCTCACTTCTCTGCAAACAATTTTTATTGAGAACATTTTCCAGAAAATACTCTCTTCCAACTTTAATCTTTAAATTGTCACACAAAAGAGGAACCTGCACTTATACAAGTCGTTATTAAGAAAAGCTTCATCCCAGGGATCAACCTGCGTATAACGGCCGAATGAAAAACAAAACAAGTAATTTTTAGCAAAAAAAACCGACTTAAAAAAAATATATATATATCTATTTATTTCATGATTCAATGATCGGATCTAACCCAAATCTGAGACACTACCTTTCCGTTGCAAAAAGAATTATCGAAATCGGTTGACGTGGTCCAAAGTTATGCGGTAACATACATAAAAAACATAAAAAAAAAAATATTCCGACGAACTGATAACCTCCTCTTTTTTGGAAGTCGGTTCAAAATCGATATAAAGCAAGCAACGCCAAAAGTCCACGAGATTATGTGCCTTTAACTGGGTATTTCTCGGAGCGTGCTTAGCTCAACATGAAGAAATATTTATGTTGATCTTCGAAAAAGATAGCAGCGTTGCAGCTTTGGTAATTTTTTACCAAAGTTGTGCATTTTTTTCTTTATTTAACAAATTTGATAACTTATTTTTCAATTTGGTAACTTTTTCGAATGGGGTCTACACGTAACATAGGTGAACGACGAAAATGCAAATTATACCATTATGAGCCATAAGACAGCGCAATTGCGGTACCGCAATCGACAAATTTGCTTCATCGGCCACATTTAGGTTTGAAATCCTCCCACAAGCGTTTCTGCTGTTGTGACTTTTAGCGTTCACGCAGGTATAAAAATTATAGCTGAATGGAGCACTGGTTGCATGAAAAGCTTGGTGTCTTCAGATATATGAACAGACTAGGAATGTTAATCCCGGGATCTCGAAAATCCCGGGATTCTTACCATTTGTAATTTGCACTGGTGGCAATAATAGAAACTCCTTTTCTTGACCAGTATTGGCTATATTTCTTTTTTTACTTAATAATTAATATTTTTTTTTATAAATTTCTAGCTCATTATACACATAACACCGCGCGATAGTAAATTTTAAACACAAATATCAATATTTTCGCGAAACCCTTGGCCAAATCTACTAACATTGCGTTTTTAGTTTTTCACTCTGACGTCAGTAATTCAAACATGATTTAAAAAAATTCAGAGAAATGTGCTAAGAGAAGAAGTATGGGTATAAAATTAATGAGGAAATCCTGTAGAATTTAACAAGATTCAAGTTGCTGGTGCAGAAGGGCTGGTAAATATTGAAAATGTAATTTTAAATTTTATCCTTAAAATTTCATAATATTTAATTTTGAAAAAATTATATGTTAAGGCCTTATATAAACTCGATAACATCCTCGTATTTAGTTCTTCTAACTTTGTCAGCTTAAAAATTACCATTCGTCCTTGTGAATCCAAAAAATTTAAATTTTTTAAATTCTAAAGAAATGATTTCGGAATCTTTATTATTTTCCGAAAGAAAAATCTCTGACATTTACTTTTTTTTTTTAATTTCATTCAAACGTTGGCCGCGTCTACGCTGTAGGTGGTCCATTCGGGAGGTCCATATTTCAGCTACTCTTTCTAGCAATGCGCGAACTACGGGAGAAATGTTGACGAAGACTTTTGACTTCACATAACCACAAAGAAAAAAAATCCTGACGTCTGATATCACACGATAACTTGCTGATACCAAATGTTGCCGCCATCACGGGCTTCAATTTCAGGCAACAAAAAGTCAGTAATTATATAAATAAATATAAATTAATTAATAAAGCATAAAAATAATTAATTAAATATAATAATATATAAATTAAGCATTCTGTTATATGAACGCCCATACTCTCTCTTCGTTTATACTGGCGACAGAGTTGCATTGGTTTCAGTTTATCAAGATTATTCAGTGAAATCGTTGACGAAATTTATCAGAAATGTGTAAATTGGTGCATTAATTTACAAAGTTTACAGATTATAAATTTATACATTTTATAAGGCATTTATAAGGTTCGATGAATACCCTTAGTATTTTTTAACGACATATTTTGTATGGAAAGAAGTATTGGTTTAGATCTAAATGCATATATACATACATATGTGTGGGTATGTACATGGGCGTAGCCAGGTAGGGGCAGGGGGGTGCTCGAGCCTCTCTGCCCCCTAACTTTCAAATTTTCCTTATATATATAAAAATAGTACCCTGAAATGCCAGCTTAATAGGGTCGAGTTTCATTTGAATTTAAAAAAAAAAAAAACTTGTATTCGAAATATCAAGGTCTTCTACTTCTTCATATTTAAAGAGTGCTTTGAATATTTGTTTACTAATTTTGCTCAAATATTATTGTTTTTTGGTTAATCAAAATATTGGTTGTGGTGTAGTGGTAAGCAGTGCGAGCTTTCACTCATCAGCACCTGGATTCAAGCCCTGGTCAAAGCAATATCGCAAAAAATATAGAAAGAGGTTTTTTCTTAACAGCGGTCGTCTCTCGGCAGGCAATGGCAAACCTCCGAGTGTATTTCTGCCATGAAAAACAGCTTCTCATAACAATGCAATCGCCGTTCGGAGTCGGCGTAAAACTGTAGGTCCCTCCGGTTTGTGTGACAAGACCAAGGCGCACGCCACAAGTCGGAGGAGAAGCTCGGTGAAACACTAACGTATGTGTAAGCGCCAATCTATTATTATTATTATTATTATTATTATTATTATTATTATTATTATTATTATTATTATTATTATAAAATATTGATTACTCGAGTAACTTAACTTTTGAGTAATCATTATTTCTTATTTACCTTATGATTAATTAAAATGTTGAATAATCAATTAATCGCACCGCCTTAATGTTCATATTTCACAGCCCAAAAAAAACCTTCCTTGTTAATTAAGTGTTTTGACTAAGATTCGTTTTTCGACTGCACATAGATTAAATAAAGGGATTTTCGGTGTCCCACCAGTTACATTCATTCAAATAATAGTAACAAAGAACTTAGAAATCGTTAGGTATTTTTTCAAAGGATTTTTATATATTAGTAGTATCAGATTTTCAGGTATATACTACAGAAAAAAAATATCGCCTGAAAGCACCCTAGTATACATATATGTATGTATAAGTATAAGTAGTTAGTATGTATGTATGGACTTATACATGTATGTACTTAGCAACCTACAACAGCTACTTATAAGTACATCCGTCTGCTTATTTTAGACAAGATAATTCGAGTCTGCCAATTATTTAATTGCTTCTTATGTATTTGCTTCATTGGCAAATATCAATGGGAACATTTACTTTAATATCTTGTTTTTGGTTATGCGGTTTAATATTTAAATATATATGTACATATGTATTTAGACATATATTTGTGCATATTTCTATGTACGTTTATACATACATATTTATACTAATACGAAAGTGTGAGGGTTTCGACGTTACCTGAGAGTGAAGTTTCCAATCTTTGTAAGCTTTCACAATGTAATCCATTTTTATATTGTTTTGTTTTTTCCCCGGTTCTTTCTATTCCACTTATTTATCAAGGCTACACTCAGTTGGTTACTGTGTATGGCAAGCCGAAATGTGTTATATCGACCAATTCACTTATTGGAAACAATCTGAGTCACGATCGTCTTTTACTGTCTCACACTTGTAGTAGCAGCAAAAACTTTCACAGCTGATATATGTACTTGTATTCGCTTTGTAAAATAAGCACTGGTGCGTTCATAAAACCATGTACATATATTTATTACCAACTTAATTCTTTATGTAGAAAACCACCAATCCTTTACACGATTTTATTTTTTATTTATTTCTTGTTTAAGAAAATAAGTAAAACTGAAAGATCTGCTTTGTTGGATATTGATATTGTATATGTAAGGCCTAGGTGCGTATAAAGGTAAATGACTTGGGCTGGAACACACTTAACGGTTGTTACGAACGTGATTCCCTCTATTATAAACCGCACTCCGGGACGCGAACGTTGGTTGGCTGTGATGTGCTTGTCAGAGAACTTAACGTTGCTGGTGTGCTGCAAATTATTATTCTGCATGGGAATTCACCGTTTCAGTGGAAAATGTGAAACAACGCGGACTTCAACGCGCTACTTTAGTGAATAATTCAATGTACATACATACATATGTAGTTAGCAGCGCATGCGAAACAGCTTGAATACATTACACCACGTTTTACTAATTATTTTAACTGTTGTTAGCCAGTAATTAAACGGAATACTTAATTGTTTTGTACCTATTGCAGATTTGTCATTTTTCTTTTTGTTTTATTTGCAAATGGCTATGTATTTAAGTGTCTTGAACTTCAAAGGCGCTGTTAAATAAATGCCCACCTGAAAGATTTTTTGCGAAATATAATCTATGAGTGACTGTTCCTCGTCTATGTATGAATCTTCATACATACATATATACTTGAGTAGGTTTCACACACACTCTTACATACATACATATATCTACGAATTTTAATTTTCTTGTAATCGGTGCGCGTGGCAACAAATGTTGATTTT